TTTAGCAGGTTTTAGATAAAACAGATATAAACTGACTATAACTAAATAGACCTGTTAGAAATTAGCCTGAAATGTGACATGTGGTGCCGTATATATTAGTGGGCTGTGGTACAGCCCATTTTATTCAAACAAATTTATTAATTTTTATCAAAAACATTGTAACAGAAATACAACATAGTAATATTAAATGTCACCAAACTCAGTAGCCATGACAGACTACTGCAACCCAAAAGATATATACACAAAATAAGGGTGTTGAGTGAATCAGTGTTTGTGTGATTTGTCAGCCCAGCCAAGAAAGGATTCCAGACATTCTGATGTCTGGTCAGATTTTAGGAAGTAGGTTGGACAGAGAACTTCTAACAACCCCCACATTTATAGAGAGAAAAGGTGTGTGGAGGGGAGGCAAGTGAATGACAAAACAGAAAACCTTTTTAGTGACTTAATGAACTTTATAAGCTTGGTCTTTTACATAAAAGGGGAGGAAGGTGAATGAACATATACAAACAAACACCAGTGATGGTTTACTGAAACAGGAAAAGATATATATTTTCAATGTATGAGAAACATCTGGATACGTCAGATATCAAAACTTAAATTTAAAGGCTGAGCATCCATTTTAATGTTTTTTTTAAGTAAACTATAATTTTGTTGTTGTGTCCCTTCATATACAAATTTATTCTGCTGCCATTTTTTTACTCTTTTTTGATACTATACACCCTGCACAAGGCTGAAATGTCACTCTTAAAATGGTTATGATGAATGAGGTGTTATATAAGTAAAAGGAGAAGGTGGTAGAAAGTGAAGATTATTCATAACTGTTTCCACTAATAAAAACATTAGCCTGTAGAAGTTCCCTTTCAGAATAAAATCACTTTTCAATTTTGTCATTCACCTACTTTTCGTTGACCATAACCAGTAGAAAGTATGTATAATATATATATATATATATATATATATAGTGTATTTAGGCAACAATCCTTCTTTTATAAATGTTTTGTTAAAGACAACTGACAAGCTCCCGTGAATAAGCTTTTTATTTAATTTTTCTTTTGTTTGTACAAAGCGTTTAAAAACTGTGTCCAAATGTTCTACATATCCGAAACATACTAGTAGAAAATACAAGTATAATAGCCTCATACATGTGTAAAAAAATTTTTTTTAAAAAATAATGGAAGCCCTAATAATAAAAAAGGAAAAACCAACACTCAATAACATTAACTATGAACATTGCCAATATGCTGACCATGTTACCATGTTTGAAAAATAAAACATTCCTATAACTTCAGATACATACATAAAAAATCCTACATATTTAGTTAAACAAAAAAAAAAAAAAAAAAAAAAAACACACTCTTCTTAATGGTTAAAAGAATAGCTAAAGTGCTCGGGTATGCAGAATTTTTGGACAGTTTTTATACACGGTGCATCCAGAAAAGAAAACACTTGTCCAAACACAAGAAAAATTAAATAAGAAAACTTAATCGCAGTACCTTATCAGTCGTCATTAACAAAACATGTTTGTGTATGTATATATACATGAAGGAACCAGTTCTAAAGGAAGCAAGTGAAATCTTTAACCTTTGAATAAGACAAGACCATTTTACATGCACTGAATCCAATAAATGTAAGTTTTCAGTCTGTTTGCAACAGGTTATGAGTCATTAAAATAGTAAATAAAACCTCATTAGGATAAAAATAATTCTTTTCTGACTTTTCAATTGAAATTAGTATAAATTGTCTCATTTAGTAAAAGTGAGATAACTTAATATTCCTAATATACACAAAAGAAAAGATTGATTTTGTAAATTTATATCGGATTAGTTTTTATTTTTTGGGCCAGGTAAATCATACATTTTAATTTTTTTTTTTAAAGTATCAAAAGATAAAAGAAAAATAACGTTTGTAAATACTACCCAAATGATTTTTTTCCTCATATTGAAACTTCCAAATAAATCATTTTTTTATAACTATTCAAGTGAAACATTAAACATAAAATTTATATTTACTGAATAAAATCAGGTTTAATTGGAGAAAAATATCCACAAGATTTTAAAATTAAAATATAAAATCCTAAAATAAGTGACATCTTTAACTAACCTAAATATTTTACACTATGTTTCTTTGTGATCAAAAACTTTAACTACATAAATAAGGCAACAATTTCTGAATTGATAAAAAAAATTAAATGTTTCTAAAAAAATATATCCAGGCATTGACATTCGAGTAGAATTAAAATGAATAATGTAACCAATTAGAAAAATTGACCTTAATTTTAAGATTAAAGATAATGAGCAATCATCAGCAAATTGCTTAAAGTTTATTTTAAGTTAATGTGAAAAGTCAAAATAAATAATATTGTATCCAAGAGAAAGTTTTATTTTACTTTTTCCAAACCAAAATTTTAACAGGCAAAGCAAATGTAAATCTGAATAAAATTATGAATTATCTAATATGGTAGACCATTTTCTTTTATTTTTTTTCTTTGTATACAGAAAAAACTTAATACAAAAATAAAAGCTGAATTAAAAAACAAAAAATGTTAGTGTTGTAAAAATATCTTAATCATACAGCTTATCATAAAACCTATTTAGAAAGTTTAATACCAAAAAAAAATAAATAAAAAAATAAAATAAAATAAAGACTATTTGGCATCTGGAATGTGTTTCAGATTCATCACCACTAACTTATATTGTAGAATTCTCAAGTTAAACTATCTTTACATTTATAAAAATTTTTTTTTCTCCCCCATTGAGAGTTGTTCAAGAATTTAAGTTCCCATTTTTGTTTCTACATTTAAATCAATCCATTGAAACAGATCAAAATAAGACAATTCATTTCTTTGTAATGTATAATTCAATAGAAATAAACTATATAGGAAATTATCAGATCTTCAATTGTGAAGGATGCAGAAATTGGTACTGTCAGGATTTTGTAATTCAAAAGAAATTAAAAATCTATTACACTAAAATGGGATGCCTAGTTAGCCAACAGTAACTCATACTGAAAGATTTAGTGAAGGTAATTTAGTAAAAGGAACCAATTGTCAGAATAAGTACCACATATCACAACCCAATATGTCAGGAAGCTGATAGAAGCATTCATTTGGTTGACAGGTTGGTGTGAAACTTGTATAGAAATTGTATTAAATGACACTACACATGAATCATACCAAAATTATTTTTGAGGAGAAAAAAAAATTAGTTACATAAAAAATTAAAACATCAACACCTAAAGAGAAGCTATTGAAACATGAACTACAATTAAGAATAAAACAAGTGGAGACATTAAGAAGTAGAGTATAAAAAAAAATAAACTTTGAAAGAATATGTGTCTACCCACAAACTGAGCCACTCCAATGAAAATAGACTTTAAAACTTCACTCAAAACTGCATCAAATGTAACATGATATCGGGAAAAAAAAAAAGACCAAGAACAAGTAGTTAGTTGGAAAAGTTCTACAAAAAAATTGAAATTCTATTGCTCTTTTAGAAGCTTTTGCAGAAAGCATACATTAAGGAAAAAAAAAAAGGTATTGGAAACTAGAAGACAGAATCCACACCAAAGTATAGAGCTAGACCAATTTTAAACTAAATTCAACACACTTTCAGGATGTCCAAATTTGTACTAAATGATTATATGAATATACTGGTTCAGAAAGCAAGAATAAATGTTTCTGGATTTTACTATGCATTAGGAAATGTTTTAAGACATTATAAATGACGTTTAAAGCAAGAAATCGGCAGTTTCAAATGATCTGCCTATAAGTGCCTATACCTTAGTGAAACATTTACTCTTGAAAACTTTCGAAAGAAAGATTTTCTCCTGTCAAGATCAAGTGAAATCTCACACTGACATAATTAAAATTTTTGAATGCAAACTTTGTACCAGATGGCAAAAGCATTATGATTTGTTTCATAATTTCATATTGGTTTTTTTTTTGTATTATTAATAAAAATTATATTACAATGTAGAAGACTGTGATAAAAAGAAAAACAAAAAAAAAAAAAAAACAAAACTTGACTCGTGAATAAACATCTACTTAATATAGCAGAGAACATAAAATGGATATAGGAGTAGAAGGGATTCACTACATTAAGCAGATACAAGCTACAACTGTTATACAGCCAAAACAAGGAACATGAACCAACAACCACAAACATCAAGTAAAGCTACTAACATGAAAAAGGTTTTGATGATAAAAGATGCTGAAAAATTAAAAGTTCAAATACCATACTAATATAAAAATATATATTCTAGGGGGTAAAAGTACAAATCCTTGCTATTTATGAAAATGGAAGATTTACAGATTTAACACACTTGACTTTTCAGCTAAGAGTTTCAAGATGCTGGGCAGTTTATATATTGTCATTTCTTATCAGTGTGGAACAGGGAGAAAATGTTAATTGTAAGGTGAACCAGATATTCTTACATTGTGAACTGGGTAGATCAGGTACTGTAGGGGCAACCCCGATTAAGGAAGTCTTCATTGCAAGCATTATTGCTGTTTATAAGCATGACTTGTGTTTTATGTATATCATGTGTATCTTTATATGTCAAATAACAAGTATTTACATATTCATAAATATATAACACTTTTCTAAAACCAATGTATTTGCTTTAATATTTATATTTAAATTTCAAATAGTACATGACAAAACGATAAAAAAATTAAAAATGTCTAAACTTTCCTTTATACTGGCTCAATAAAAAAAAAAAAAAAAATACATACATCATTTTTAAAATGTAAGTAAAATAAGATCCTTTTAAGATCTTATACAATTTGATGAGAGGAAAAAAAAAAAAAAAAGAGAGAGAGAGAAAAAACACCACCAAACAAAAAAAAAAAAAAAAAAAAAAAAAAACATCAGTTATAAAAAGCAGTTAGTCATAAATTAAAATATTCCTAAAAAGGAAATAAAAAAATTTAAAAAATAAACCCAAAGCAAGCCAACAGAAGCAGTACCCCGTAAGCAGGAGAAAACAGGGTAGAAACATACCAGTAGACTCTCTGTCATTTTCCTTATCAATATCACTCTCTGGTGTTTTCAGGTGGTAGTCAGGAAATAAAAAGATTAAAAATGGAACAAGCATTAAAATAACACAGCAGGCAACGGAGACATTTCAAAATGCTCATTCCAACCTATATATATATATATATATATATATATATATATATATATACACACATATACAACCACAATTTATATCAGCATGTAAGCAATGATACACACTTAAAACAGATTTTTAAATATCATTTTACAATATACAACAATAGTCATAAGCACGCATGGAAAAAAAAAATGTTTAAACCAGCATTAATTTCTTCCATGCATAAACTAACAAAATTTCACTTCTATAAATTAAAATTTTGCTTTTATTAAGATCGAAAACAAGAATACTAGAACTACATAAAACGAAGAGAATTTTAATTTTGTTTTTACAACTTAATTATATTTCAAAGCATTAAAATAAATCACAAGTAAAACTTAAAATATATGCTTAAGCAGCTATTTTAAAGATTAATGTACTCCATAATAACTTTTGACCTGAAAACTGTATCTAGTCAATTGTAATTAGCATGGTATACACTTTAATACTTTCCTCATATTGTACAGACAAAAGTGATAGTCTTTAATTATAATAGAGTCCCATTTTGTATTCATATCTTTATATTGAGTGTTTTTTTCCCCCACCAGAAAATGACCAAATAGGAAAAGGCACCAGTACAGCTAATCTTCAGCTCTTAAAGTGGAAAGTTTTATGCTATAGTTACATTGTAATAAAATTCCTTTAATAAAGTCTGTAGGAAGATTTTTCCGTAAAAAAGTACTTCAAGATAAATAAAATATAAAAATGTGTCTTCTCTAGACTTGCTAAGGATTGATAAAAATTACAACCTGAAGGATGGATATATATAATGATAATAATAATAATAATAATAATGGACTCTCCCATCGGTTTCGACGTATGAGGATCTGACAGCTTATTGATTCAGTTATGAAAATTTGTGCGATAATCTTAAGTGGCATTTAAGACCCGCTAGTGATTTACAAAGGAGGCCACATATGGAGCAAGTGTGAGGATTGTGAAATGAGATCACTGTTAGATTGGCTGACCTTTTAGATCTTGCCCTCGCTTCTTGAAGATGATTCAGACAAGCAGATTGAAAATTGCCGAGTCCACTAAAATACGTTGATCTCCATTCTACCCGCTCCAAAGCTAAGCACTCAAGGGTGTTATGTGGTATATTGAGTGCTGACAAGTTGCTTTTCAGCTTGTTTTTGTATCTTAGCCATGGGCGTCCTACATTCCTGTATCCCTGATCTAACTGGCAGTACATTAGGATCTTGGGTATCCTGTCATTAGACATTCTCAAGACATGACCAGTCCACTGTAACTGAGACTGTATGATAAAAGTCTCGATTCCTCCATATTACACCTGTTAAACAGGTCTACATTAGATGTCCTATCTTGAAGCTTAACTCCACAGATTGCACGCAGACAGCTTTTATGGAAAAAATCCAGCTGGTGTATATGATACCTGTATGGAGTCCACGACTGAGCCATACAAGAGGATGGCAAATACAACAGCTCTGTTAACCCGAATTTTCATATCCAGTAGAATACCCTGTTCATTCCACAAGCGATGGCGAAGTTTGCCGAAATGTATATATATATATATATATATATATATATATATATATATATATATCTCCCTTCCATCAGCAAAAGTGTTCTGTCTGTGTCTGTTTCACACTCGAAGCTTTGAAAGTATGCAAGTGAAAAATGTATGTTAGAAACTTAAATTTGAGTCACAGTGAGTTAAAAGTTGAATTCCTAAAACAGTCTAGAAATATAGAATACATCAATTGTGATGCAGATAATTATAAGGCTATGCATTTTCAAATATTTTTGAAAGATATAATAATTAAGAACATAAACCCATAAATCAAATTCAAATAAAGGATTCTCTTCAATGTGACAGATAAATAAAATAAAAAAATCAAAAAAAAATCAATCATTTAATGTATAATAGTAATATTAAAAAAAAAAAGAAAAAAAGGAACACTGGAAAATGATTTCAAAATCTTGACAACTAAATTTTTGTTGCTGGTATGTTTCGGCTTATGCATTCTAGAATCTACAGGTCTTGGAATATTAATAACTTAACAAATCTTAAATTGAAGAAACATTACAATTTTATAAATAATGGTGACATGAGGCACCATCAGCAGCAGAACTCACAAACTAACACAAATGGCTGGGTAGGTTTATATATAATTTTCCAGAGAGCAGTACCTCACATGTTCAGCCAATATTTACAGGGAAATATATTATTTATGCTTACATTCTAACATCCTGACTTAAACATATGAGTACAAGTTATATTTTTGTCCCTTAAAATTTTAAGCTTCTTCAATAGGAAAGCTAAAATAAGATTTAGTTTTACTGAAATCATTGCAAACACATTTGAGGGGGGCCTGAATAGACATAGTATATTAATAACTTTCAAGATAAAATGTCATTAATTACAAAAATGTTGACTTTCACTGAGATTCCACCTATCCCAGTACTCAAGACTGAAGTGGTGACAATGAGTTGATACCTGAAGAAATTTAGACTTTAGCTACACAAAAGAATTGAAACCAATTGGTTCCACTGGATTCACTATTTATCTTCAACTGTAGAAACAAATTGACTTGTCAGTAAAAGAAAATTAGCTGTGGCAGATACAATTGCAGAGAACAAAATTTGTCTAAACACTAAACGAAGAGGGACTATTATATTAGCAAAACAAGAACTTGACAGATGTCTCAAGATTTCCCAAGCATTCTATAATCTGTTTTTTCTTTTTCCAGAGATTCATTTTACATGTTTCCACTTTGTTATTAACTTCATGTATTAAAAGAAAAAAAAAGTTGATGTTCTAAAAAAATATATTCCAAAATGTTAAAGCTTTCCACTGATTGCTGTCCTAATGACAGATATGTGACAATGGTTAGTTGGTCACAAACTAAGGAAATAGTAAAATAATAAATTTCTTAACATAAGTATTTTTTATGATGGAATGAACATTTTGCTATCTAAAACACAAAAAACAGTTAAAACATTCAGCAGGCATGTCTGTGGAAATAAAATGTGCATATGAATTTGTAAAAATAGATAGTTTTGAATTTCACAAGCAGCAGATTAGATATGAAAACTTATCCCAATTTCCTGAAAACAAACATGCATAGAAGTTATAAGAAACAAATCCAGCAAAACTGACTAGCTAAAATTAACAAAGGAAAAATATAAGACATGTATCACAAAAATACAACATTCATGCAATAGCATAAAGTTTTGTGTAAAGGGTTTATTAAACAGGCATATTCATGCACACAGTGACAAACCACATACTCAAGATGTCTAAATTTTGTTTTGTCACAATACCTGACGAAGCATATTCTCCAGGGTTTACTGCACTACCTGCAATGCATAAAAAGTTAAGACAATTTGCAACAAGAACATTTAAAATATTCAATATATAAACTCAAAATTGGAATGCAAAAAGTGCAATGTGATATTTGTCACTATGGATTCAATATCTGTGGCAATAATAAAAAGGTAGATAATTTATTTATATATATATATATATATATATATATATATATATAATATAATTCTAAAATTTACATCAAAATTTTTCAAGATGTAAATATTCAAAAGAACTGCATAAAGTTTTCATTGTTGAATGAATAAAAATAAAGATTTATGTGAATTTCATATTTGTTTCTATTATCAAAAAGTATAATCCCCCACCTGCTCCAATCACAAAAGATATTGATCACTAGGATTTGATATATAGTTTATCAGAAGTTATGAATTTTTTTTTTTTTTACTTGAGAAAACAAATTTTACATATAGATTTCAAAGAAAGAAATTCAGGTAGTGTTTCAATATCTTAGTTAAACAAGAATACTAGAAGATTTATGAAATAAAATAGTATTTAAATACAATACATTGATCTGGCTTTTCTCAGTTTTTGAATACAGCTGACTTAGAGAAAGAAAAAAAAAAAATGAACGTGAGATAGGTAAATGATATTTCTTGACTTACCAGTTATATCAGCACCAAAGTCAACATCACCAATGAGATCTGAATCCTGCATTGCAAACTCACTAAATATGGATTCATTATTTCTTCTGAAATTACAAATAATCACCAAATTATGACTAAGTATGATATTAATACTTGTGAGAAAAAAAAAAAAAAAAAAAAAAAAAATCAACTTCTCTGTAAATCCAATTCTCTAAAAATGCATTTAAAGAAAATTCATAAATCTGAATCTCAGCAGAGTAAATAATCAAAAATATAAGAAAAAAAAAAGTCATATGAAGAATACATTTAAATTCATTAAAAAATTCAGAAAACAGGACCAAACATTTTTTTTTCACAGGGGGATAGAACCTAAAGTACCAGGTAACAACATTATCATAAAACGTACAGAAAATCTTGTGTATATGAACATTGAACAATCCTAAAGAGTACAGTCTTTTGGAAATATCCGATCTCGATACTAACCCCCAATCTTGTGCAGCCATTTTGGAAGTTCAGTTGCTATGGTGTCCAAAGCACCAACAACAATGAAGATGACTTCCACTTTCTTCATTGGCCACAATTTATATACTTCCCATTTTATAGTTGACCAGTTTTTCTTTATCAACTACTCTATTGTCTCCAGGGCATGATGCAATACTTATGATGATGCATGTTCATTCTTTCTTTATTTACAAAAAAAAAAAAAAGCCTGATTTTCTGTGTAACAATACTACATAGTCACTCTGGATCATGAGGCACCCCACAAATTTTGTACTTGCCAATGACAACTTCAGCAGGAAGTCCATATGACAATTCTGTGCTCTCCAATTCCATACTTGTTACATAATCCTCAGTATATAATTCCTGCAACATTACATTGCCTCCTATTTTCTTTATTCTCTCTGGGCCAATTTTGTGCATTCACTGACAATATGTCACACGGTTTCTACTTTTCTCTCAGCTCATCCTGCCCTTATTGTTAGTTGTATGGTCCATTTTTACACCTAAAATACTTTATTCCAAGTGTTTGTTCTTGAGATGCACAAATCAGCACTTCTGTCTAGTTTCAAAATCATTCTTCATGAGCCAGTTTACATAAAGTATTGATCTTTCTGGGTACATTTCTGGAAAGATGCCCATGGATTTTTATTTTCTTTCCATCCATTTTCATATTCATCACTTAGATTTTTTGTATTCCTCCTTTTCCTTGTAATAGTCACTAGTGTCATACTTTTTAACCTGGGCTAAAAGAAAGTCTGTTGAGTTCTTTATGTTTCATACAATTCTATTTTTTTCTGCAATGACAGTCTCAACTCCTCTTCCTGACAAATACAACCAGTCAATATTACATTTTTGATGAAATATATAAAGTCATCAATTTTCTAATCCTCCTGTTCCACTCTGGCCAATTCCAGCTGTCTGCACTACATCTCAACAATGAAACTACCCATGTATTAATCAGGTGAATCCTATTCCTCCCATTCAGCTTTGATCATAACATGAACTCAAGCCCTCGAACATACTTCTGTGTGAAGGGAGGTTTTAACTTCCACCTCTATAAACCCATCTATCTCAACAATCCTAAGATATTTGGTCCCACTTTTCTATTTCCTGTTTGCCCTGACAGCAATTCCCTCAGACAAAATATTGCTATTTTCTCACTACTCTATCACTATTACTATGGCAAATATTCAAATGAGTTACATTCTTTAGTTCCACTGTGGAGAAAATTGTAAAAATGGCCTACCTAGGAAACGTCTGCGAATATGTGCGATATGCAAACTCTGGTTTGCTCAATGGTAAAAGGAACCAAAATGGCAGCGCCCATGTTTTATGCCAGGCAGTCTCGGACAGTTAACACAAAATCTCGTTGTCTTGTCATTCGCATGCAAATCGTGGTCAGTCCTCGGCTGTATAAAGCAGGCGTGTTTTTGTTTCTGATCACTGGGTTTTTTGCTTGTGAGAAGGTTGGACATGTGACACTGTTTTGTCAGTTACCCTCCTCACGGTTTTTCCTATCTGCTACTATTAGTTGAGTCGTTGTGTTACCACCACAAGCTATTCCAGCAATGGACAAGTTCGATCTAAAATTGATCCCAGAATTCGACGGCTCCCCCACAGGCCCGACTGTCATCGAATGGTTTGAGAAGGCTGAACGTGTTTGCAAGGTGTCCAGAGAAAGCGTTAAATCCGTTGTGAAGGCCTGCACAACCTGTCAGTCGATTGATCCGGCACCTGTTCACTGGGAAAGAGGAGAACTGAGCGTGAAGAGCAACTGGAGCAGACTAGCAATGGACATAACTCACTACAATGGTGAGAATTTTTTAACGCTTATTGATTGCGGTCCCTCTAGGTTTGTGGTATGGCGGCCACTGCGCCGACAAGATGCTAGCACCATCATTCAACTGTTGGAGAATGTTTTCCTGGAGCGAGGCCCACCCATGGAAATACTGACCAATAACAATACTGCATTCACCAGTAAAGACTTTAAAAAATTTGCGGACAATTGAGACATGCCCCTGCAGTTTTGATGTGCCTACTCGCCGAGTGGAAACAGCATCATAGAGCGAAACCACAGAACCGTCAAGACCATCGCAGCCAGAAAGGGCTGTACAGTATCGGAGGCGGTTTATTGGTATAATGTCACCCCGAAAGATAACGTTTCACTGTCCACGGCACCAGCTGATGCACTGCACAAATATCATGTCCGAGTGAAAGGCATTGAAGCCAACCCGCTGCCTGAACTAGAAGTGACTGGAGGGAGATTGAAAAAAGATGTTGTTTGGGTCAAAAACCCACGCGGCAAGTGTATGACAAAATACAGCACTGGACGTGTTACAGAGGTGATTAGCCTGCAATCTGTGAGAGTTGATGGGGTGCCTCGTCACATTAAAGACTTGCAACCGGTGATGCAACCACTACCATTACTGAGCGATGAAAGTGATTCAGAGTCTGAGAGTAGTGAGCGTTTGATCTGCTTGGAGTTAGACCTGCAGGGCAGTGATTCTGATATCAGCAGCCTCCTGGCGGACGCAGTGTTTACTGACACTCAAACCACAGACGAGAGCACGCATGAGGATGAAGCTTGTGTTGTCCCCCTTTGGAGGGGACTCGATGGCAATGATCACCACCTCCTTGCCCTGTTTGTGATCATGAGATCAGTGGGGAGTGTGGGGAAAATTGTAAAAATGGCCTACCTCGGAAACGCCTGCGAATCTGTGCGATGTGCAAACTCCGGTTTGCTCAACGGTAAAAGGAACTAAAATGGCGGCGCCCATGTTTTATGCCAGGCAATCTCTGACAGTTAACGCAAAATCTCATTGTCTCGTCATTCGCATGGAAATCATGGTCGGTTCTCAGCTGTATAAAGCAGACGCATTTTTGTTTCTGATCACTGGGTTTTTTGCTTGTGTGAAGGTTGGACGTGTGACACTGTTTTGTCGGTTACCCTCCTTGCGTTTTTTCCTATCTGCTACTATCAGTTGAGTCGTTGTGTTACCACGACATCCACAAGTTCAGACCTTCAAAGCTAAGAACTGACATGCCATGTTTATGGTGACAAATTATTACCATTCCTTTACTTACATTCAAATAGCTTCTTCACAGAACAAAGTCCCAAGAGGATGCTTCCTTGATAACTACAATCTTGTTCTCTCCAAATCCAGTTCAACTGGTATCTATCATACATATCCTCATAATATGTATTTCTTACTTCCTCCACCCCACTCACAACATCACTCAGTAACCCTCTACTTTGAGTGGCACTTGGGTCTTGTATTTGGTAAATTAACAAGAAAAAAAGTTTCTATAACTTCCAGGTCATGTACTTTTCCACCCATTCTAAAATCAAAACCAATTCCATTCTAATGTCCAAATTGAACCAATGAACTGGATATCATCCTTATCAAATAGCTTTAAATCATTCATAAATAACAGATGGTTGATCCCTTGTCATTTAAAGTCAGAGCCAGCTTTTAATTTCCATAGGATTAATTTCAATGGAACCATGTATAGATGTTAGAGAATAGGACTCAACATACTTCCTGCTCTTCCTTACTACTGTGATAATGGACTGTTCCTATTTATAAATATGGCAAGTAGCCACATTAGAGTAGGATTTGAGTAGTATTTGATTTACTTGAGCTATTTCATTCTATGTATGAGTATTTAATAAACCTCTTCTTTGTTTTCCCTACCTAGTCTTTTGTTCCTTCAATACTATGACCTTCCTAATTTTCAGCTAGTTTGTCAGAGACAGTATTACAACAATAGAACAAACAGCAAGGGGAATAAGCTATCACCTTGAATGATCCCTCTCAATTTTTAACATGTAGCCTATGTTCACTATTTTTTTTTTCAGATGCTCACACCTCTTCTAAAAATAGGCTTTTGTCACAATCTTTTATTATGATTCTGTCAATAAGCAAGTGGTCACTGGTTCCAAGATACTTAGAACTTTTCTGATCTACAAGCAAAATATCATTTTCATCAACAAAGGTATGCATTTCATCAGCTATTATGTCTCTAACAACATGAAATTGGCCAATAGTCCTTTATGTCATTACTTTTGGAAATATCTTTCAAGCGTAAGACCATCTGTTATCCATTCTGGAATATCTTCATTTCTATTGATTATGGCATAGTATATCTTTTTCTCTTGAAAAACATTTTATGATTATAATATCTTTCTTTTAAACATTTTTTCTGTTGCTCCTCTATAATTTTTCTTCAGTATTAATAGTTTGTTACTATAGCTTTATGCATTATTCATTAGATATTTACTTTCCAGAGGGAATTTTGTTTTACAATTGCATGAAATAGTATTATTATTATAGCTATAGTTATTACTAATATTAATGTTATTAAAATTAATACTGTTAAGTTCAACTAACTAAATTCAATATTATTTCTATTGATAATGTTTGATAATTTAATATTTTAGGGAAATGTTTAGCAATTAACTTAAAGAATATTCTATTTTTGTGTCATTGTTGTCAGTGAAATTATATTTTTCTTTGTTATTTTTATTTTATAATCCAATTTATCATACTAACTTTTTTAAGCCAATTCAGTTTTTTTACTTTTCTTAATATTACTGAAATTTGTTGAAAGCCTCTTGCTTATAAGTATTTGTTTGAAAACTGCTAGGAGTTGTTGGAATATATGATGACAAACTGTTATTGTATGCCCTACTTGTGTTTGTCCCTTCAATATCTTTTAAGGCCACCTTGAAACCTACATAACACTTCATATAGGAACAAAGAACACTGGCCCTGTGAAGGCTGCAGGATAGCAATCCATATGGGGTACTGAATTTCATTTATATATATATATATATATATATATATATATATATATAAGGCTCAAAAACAAAGAGCATTTTAATCAAAATAAAAGAAAAAATTTAAATAGAAATTTTTTTTTTTTTTTAAATTAAAAAATATTAAATGAATAAAAAATAATGTAACTTACTTTATGTTTTTCTTATTTGTTTCATTGGTTTGATTGTTGATAGTTTCCTCTGGCTCATCTAACTCCGGTGTGTTTGGAACTATATCAGATGCTGACCGATCTAATGCTGTAAAAAATAATATATACAAAATAGAATCTTTACATCAAAGGTTTTACTAAATTCAACACAAATTTAAGAAATTATGATGTTAAGATTTTAAAGGTTCTGAATTTGAAGTTATACAACTGTAATGTTTTTTTTTCCAATTTACACAGCCAAAAAAAAATTAAAAATTAAAAAAAATAAAATAAAATTATTTAGCCTCAATTTAATTTTTTTCAAGAATAAAACAGTAAATTTATGAGTTAATTATAGCTTTCTTTACACTGTACTTGCATTTAGGGATGCAATGGTGACTAATAACAAAAACATGGTAATTTTACTATTTTAAAGAATCTTTTTAAGCAACATCAAAAAAAAAAAATCAAACAGCTTAAGTGATATTATTATGCATGTAAACATTTCATCTAATAAAGTTTATATTAGCAAATTACAAACAGAAGTAGTTACTTTAATTTTTTTTTTGTTTTAAATATTGGATATTCACCAAAGATGACATCATGTTATGTTTACATAGAAGTTTGTTATACGACAATAACGGTCGCAGAATAGCTGACGCATGTCAAATTTGTGATGTGGTTCTATGACATACCACATGAGAGAACAAAATATTAACAACAGAACCATATGTTTAAATGCAATGTAATGTGTTGTGATTAGTTTGAAATGTAATTTTGTTGAGTGTATGTTGTTTTGTTTTAATGTAGACGGCCTCCAGTATCTGAAGGTCTTTTTTGTTTTGTTTTTTACTGTGTATGTGCATGAGTATTGTTGTGTTATCAACTAATATTCGTCTAATATTATGTACATACATGTTTTTCTAAGTAATGTTGTTTAATAGAACTAAGATCAGAAAGGTGACTATGGAAGAGCGTGGTTGTAATAAAATCAATATATGGAGTGTGTTTATTATTAGTATTAGAGAAACAATATCTGAACAGGCATGTAAAATGATACACTACATTGGTTCTTTGTAGAGGATTTTGTTGTGTGGTTGTAGGGTTATTAGAGAAAATGAGGTCAAATGTTTTAAATTTTTTATAATATATGATGAGCTTAACTTGTTTATCATTATTAATGGGTTTAACATTTCTACGTATTATGTTTTTGAGTGTTGTTTCATCATGTTTGTAATTATCATGCATTTGGTTACAATAGTATAAGTTAATATTATTATGTTTATTTTGAAGTATATTATCATGGTTACAATTATTAATATTATCAATTTTGTTAGAGTTATAATTAAGTTTGAGATACATTTTAATTTGTTGATCAATGACGGAATTAGTAGAGAATCCATTATTAAGAAGTGTTTGCTTAATGTTATGTAATTCTTCATGGAATATGGTTTTGGAAGAAGATATCATTAGTCACAACACATTACATTGCAACTAAGCATATGGTCCTGTTGTTAATATTTTATTTTCTCACATGGTATGCCATAGAACTGTATCATGAATTTACGACCTGACTCTGCTATTCTACAACCATTATTGTTGCATAGGAAACTTCTACGTAAACATAACAGGATATCAGCTTTGATGGTGAATATCTTTGTTGAAATGTCCACATAACCACTCTGATTATAGTTCATGTGAACCAAAAACTTAGATTGAGGAACAGCATAATAAAAAAAAGTATCCATATGTTGGACAGTTTTTGTCCTTATTTTCTCCCAAAATTAAAGCAACTATAAGGAGCTTAGAATGGCTCATGATGAAATATAATAGACATTCGTTGCCTGTTATATTTAACAATGTGTGTTTGTGTATGTGTGTGTGTGTGTGTGTGTGTGTCAGTGAGTGAGAGAGAGAGAGAGGCATAGTGTATCAAAATTATCATCAACTATCCTTATCATCAATGATTTCAACTCTTTAATGTACTACTATCAATACAAGTATGTCTTGATGACATATGCAATGTTTAAATTTACTTATTTTTAAACTAAATTTACTTTATATTTGAACACATCTAAAAACAGATAATGGTAAATATTAACAGATTGTGTGACACGACATGCACATGCAAATATATTGCAGAACTATAAAAGCAAAATAAAATATATGCTTAAAGTAAATGAAAGCATTTTATGATCAGTTATAATTAAAAAATTAAGACAAAAAAAAAATTGAAGTGAAAAGAGAAGAGAAAAATTGAAGAATGACTTACCGTAAAGTAAAGTAAGCCATAAGGTAAGCAAACATTGGAAAGAGAAATGAAGCATTAAGAGTGAATATTTTGAAGTTGCAGATATATTTATAATATGAAGCGGTGATTAAAAATATTTTTGCAAGAAATAATGTGAGAAGAAGATGCAATAACATTAGTAAAATGCTTATTAATGAGCATTGCAAATCAGATAGGTAAGCAAAGGAGAAGTGAGATTAATCCCAACAAAAAAAAAAAAATTCAACCTTCAATAAAGTTTTGAGGTTAGAATTTAAACATTAAGTTTAATATATTGCTAAAAAGTTATGTTAAAAAGAAAGAAAAATCTTTCAAGGAATTTTTTTGTTTTAATAGCAAAAAAGGAAGTGACTCTAAAATATTAATGCTTAATAATCGATTACCTGTAGAAAGAAAGATCTAAGTGTTAAGTAATAAAGCAGATTAATTAAAAAAATATTAAGACCACCTACTACTCTTGAAAATCACTGCAATAAAAAGGAAAAATACATTGATAAACGTAATTTTAATTTAAACTGAAAGAACTACTTTAATTATCTAGGTATAATCACTGAAAAGGAGGATCATTTTTATTCATAAGAGCTTTAAGATCAGTTGGTAATTTGTAATAACTTAAATTCATCTGGCCCCAATTCCAGAAAGGCATTCAAGGGCTGATGAGGATTGGCATTAAGTTGTGCCAGTCTGAAAGACTATACGCACATGAGGTAATTTTAGATTTTTGCTGTAAAAAATATATATGCTCTGTTATGATGAATACATTGAGATTTGTCTGTGGATCAGTTTTAATATTTGATATTACTAGGATCCACCGGGATTATATACCAACAGATCAATTACATGTACTATATAATAAAAAGCTAATGGTCAGAGTTGAATTAGACCAGGAAACAGTAGTATTAAAAAATGATCAATACACATAAAAAAATAAAAATGTAGAGCTGTTAAGTATAAAAAGAAATCAATTGACCGAGATGGCCTGAAAATAAAAGGTTGAAACCAAGGTAGCGAAATAGGCTGATCTCATATATATATATATATATATATATATAGGATGCACAGTGGAGTAATGGATAGTGGCTCAGATTGAGGAATCAGAGAGCTGAGTTTGAATGTCAGACAAATCCATTCCATTCACTTACATGCTAATACCCTTGGGAAAGGTATGAATCCCCTTCTACTCCCACCAGCTATGGGTAAATAGCAGGACAGACCAGGTTCTATAGCCTTGGGTGGCAACAGGTCTACTGCTAAAAGAAATGGCAACCTACTGCAGGAAAAAAATTTGCCTTGTCTGTCATGTATCGAAAGATACATGATCGTCTAAGTGTGTATCACGCATGACACATAACTGACTAATGTGTGTGTGTGAGAGAGAGAGAGAGAGAGAGAGAGAGAAAGAGAGAGAGAGAGAGAGAGAGAGAGAGATTTGAGAACAATTTTTGTTGGCCATAAAATGAAAATAACCTAACATTTAACATTTCTTTTTCAGATGAATCAAGATTATTAACATGGCAGCATCCAATCTGAGATGATCCATGTAACACAAAAGTGGTTAGCTAAGAATCATTTTAATTCTCTCACTAACAATATTTTACCCACTAGCTTTCCAGATATTGCCAAAAGGGAAACAAACATTTGTATCACAATAATCAATGACTCTACAATGCTACCATGACCAACATAAATAAGGACTTGATCTGGGTATGCAGTTGCATCCAAGACCAGATCAAGGCCAGGGACAGTTTTACTAAATTGAACAAGTGTAAAATTATTTTAAAAATACATTGATTTTTTTTCTATTCAATATCTATATTTCTTTAATTGTTCTCAATTACCTAGCATACACCCCTGTGTCTGTGATATTCAAACATATATATGACCTATTTCATTGATTTCAGATTCAAATTATTGTATAATAAAATGACAAATCCTTTATAGCATTAAAATAATTTAGTTAGAAGATCAATGATTTAAATTTAACAATACTTTGAATACAAGTACACTTGCAATTTTGTCTACTTTTATAATATTTCAACTGGAAAAATTATCTTATGCAAACAAACTTCACTGGATAAAACTATCATCATTGTACAAGTTTTGTTTGTTTTTTGTAGCATTCTGAAACTGATAAATTAATAAAACAAAAACTAAAACATTTTTTATATATTCACATTTTAATAAAGTAAACAGGTTTCTTATAAATTAATCAGAAATATTTACAAATTATCTAGACTTTATATTTCATGCCTACACTTTTAAGGGGATATTAATTTAGAAGTATAAGATCTGAAAAGTTGTCACAAACATGTGATCTGCTCAGGGAATGTTTTGAAGGAGTAAAATCTTTTCTTATAAAAACAAAATAATAACCTATACAAGTTTCCTAATCTAATTTTTTTCCTTTTCTCCCAACTGAATGGACTTTTATAGCTTTTAGTCTTAATTCACAATTAATAAACCTCTCTCTTACTTTAATAAGTAAGATGTCACAAGTGCAATTTAATAGAATAAACTTATATAATGTGCCCATGGTGTTTGAAGTAGCATTATTTGTTGAAGCAAATACAACTCAAGATGCTTAAGATATTTTAAACAAAAACCAACTACTAGGTTAGAATTCATATAAAAACTCTGAATGAAACTTTTGTCCCAGTCATTTAAATATTTAAAAATGTAATAACAAAAATGAAACAGAAAAAAACTGTACAATTACTAGAATGTTGGATAAAGTAAATATAATTGCTTAAATAAATTCATCAAATATCATTTCAACCATTCCAAAAATTGATAAGATGCATAGAAAAAAAAACAAAACT